CGCGGAACATTTTGGATGAAGAGTAACACTTTTCGAGTTCTTCGTTAATCAACGTTTTTGGACACAAAGCCCCACCTATTACATGCTGTAAGCCCTAAACACGATGTGATGGAACGAAAACGGTCTATTTCAAATCTAGATGATCAAATCTGATAAAATATATACTAAATAGAAGTTGTTGGCAAAACAACTCTTATAATATGCATCATTCTTCAGCCACATGGGAATTGACATTTGAGAAAAAGAATTGTTACAAAAAAGAATCTAACTCACCGAAATCTTCATTTACGACACGAAAATGGCCTGGAAGCATAAACGAATTTGACAGCGCAGTAATTCCCAAGCAATACAGCCCAACCAGAGGTTACATAACACTCACGCGAGGAAATTGGTTTCCCAAATTACCAGCGATAAGATTCCGTCTGATTGATGTAAACAAATTAGGAGCGAGCACATTGCCTTGGCTGTTCTACTGCGTGAGGTTGAGACAAGATAGGGGCAGGTTGGGGCATCGTACTGTGAGATCTATGTGTTCATTGGAGTTCTGCACAAGGGGACGGGGTTGGGGGTAGGAGTGGAGGAGGGGAGGGGGTAAGAGATGGAATTGAGTGAGTGAATATGGTTTTACGTCGCATTTAGTAATATTCCAGCAATATCACGGCGGGGGGACACCAGAAATTGGCATCATACATTGTACCCATGTGGGGAATCGAACCTGGTTCTTTGGCGAACGCTGTAACCACTAGGCTACCCCACCGCCCCGAAGAGATAGAAGGGTTGCGAGGGGTGCAGTGCACCACTATAAAATAGCAACTGCAAGAATCTATGATTGCACAATGCCATTTAGAAAGTGGTCTAGACTACCAGTTGTCCGACTTCCATTTAGTGTAAGTCGTGGTGGCTGAGCGGGTTAGGCAGCTGACTTTGTGACAGTTTGTGTGCTGGCAATTGGGTGCCTGTCTCTGAGGATGTGGGTTCGAATCTCGGATGGGACTCAACCCAACAAAAGTAATAGAATCTGTACTTTACTAAGAAAGTGTAATCCCAATTATAACATTTGTTGCAAGAATCTACTTTTACAGCTCAGAAATAATGTTCTTATTTTCTCTTTTATTAAGGGGTGGTGAGGTAGCCTGTGGCAATCCTCATTACAATATGATGTGTAGTGTCTGTGGCAATCCTCATTACAATATGACGTCTAGTGTCTGTGACAATCCCCATCATTACAATATGATGTGTAGTGTCTGTGGCAATCCTCATTACAATATGACGTCTAGTGTCTGTGGCAATCCTCATTACAATATGACGTGTAGTGTCTGTGGCAATCCTCATTACAATATGACGTGTAGTGTCTGTGGCAATCCTCATTACAATATGACGTCTAGTGTCTGTGGCAACCCTCATTACAATATGACGTCTAGTGTCTGTGGCAATCCTCATTACAATATGACGTCTAGTGTCTGTGACAACCCTCATTACAATATATGACGTCTAGACAACCCTCATTACAATATGACGTCTAGTGGCAATGGCCTCATTACAATATGATGTGTAGTGTCTGTGGCAATCCTCATTACAATATGACGTCTAGTGTCTGTGACAACCCTCATTACAATATGACGTGTAGTGTCTGTGGCAATCCTCATTACAATATGACGTCTAGTGTCTGTGACAACCCTCATAACAATATGACGTCTAGTGTCTGTGACAATCCTCATTACAATATGACGTCTAGTGTCTGTGACAACCCTCATTACAATATGACGTCTAGTGTCTGTGACAACCCTCATTACAATATGACGTCTAGTGTCTGTGACAATCCTCATTACAATATGACGTCTAGTGTCTGTGACAATCCTCATTACAATATGACGTCTAGTGTCTGTGGCAACCCTCATTACAATATGACGTCTAGTGTCTGTGGCAACCCTCATTACAATATGACGTGTAGTGTCTGTGGCAATCCTCATTACAATATGACGTCTAGTGTCTGTGACAATCCTCATTACAATATGAGGCCTAGTGTCTGTGACAACCCTCATTACAATATGAGGTCTAGTGTCTGTGGCAATCCTCATTACAATATGAGGTCTAGTGTCAATCCTCATGATTATTTGACCTCTAGTTTCTTAAGACAGTTCTCACTGTAATCCAACGTTTAGTTTCTGTGATAATCGTTATACTGTGACGTCTAGTTTCTAAGACATTCCTCGTAATAATTCAACGTCTTGTTTCTTTTAGAAGCCTTGTCATAATCTAACGTCTAGTTTCTGTGTCAGTGCTCTTTATACCAGGTCTTTTTCTGTGCATACTCTTCATAATACGGCATCTAGTGCATGTCTAGTGTAGGTCTAGTCTTAGTCTGTCATACAGACCCTGAAACACATATATCCAAGGAAGTCCATGCAAGTCTAGTATGTGTGGCAAGTCAAGATTTCCGCAGTTTCAGGTGTCCTTTTCATTATATTTTATGATTATTCTTTATAAACCGTTTTTTTCTGTAAAATAGGTTCATTTAAGAGACCAGATGTAAGTCTAGTCTAGTCTGATGTCTAGTTTCCGCACCCCCTCGCAATATATGGCGTCTTGAGTCTGCAGCCTAATATGACGTGTAGTTTTTGTAACGCATTCTCTCAGCCTAATATGACGTCTAGTTTATGTAAGTTAAACCTTCTTCAGTAAAGCCCCGACGCTCAGTGTCTCTAGTCCCCAATGAGGACACCTCAAACAACCTTGACTCCCGTAATGGTTGGCGACGAAATACGACCGCAGCAACCTTGGTTATAGTTTAGTCTCATGTTTACAGACCAAATGTCCCGTTCCCTGGAGGCGTGTGATAATGGACTTCCGTGGCGTCAAAACCTTTGCACATCTATGTAAACTACCAGAGACTCGATAGTACTGTGCTAATGGCCACATTAGGGTGCCTGGATCAGATGGGTTGTAGCGGAAAACTGACATTAGCGCAACAAACCAGAAGGCTTTGAGTGAAGGAGATATATTTCCATTTCGGCGTGTTTGTTATAAAGTAACTTTGGAAACGTGAACGTTAAAAGATGACGACATCATGCATACGGGATCTGTGATTGCTGTTGATAGTTGGTTTGTTGTTTAACGCCGCACTCAGCAATATTCCAGCTATATGGCGACAGTTTGTAAATAATCGAGTCTGGACCAGACAATCCAGTGATCAACATCATGAGCATCGATCTACGCAACTGGAAAACGATGACATGTGTTAACCAATTCAGTGAGTCTGACCACCCGATCCCGTTAGTCGCCTCTTGCGACAAGCATGGGTTGCTGAAGACCAATATATAACCTGGATCTTCACGGGTTGGGATCTGTGACGTAAGTGGTGTGGAATAACATGCTATGTACTGAGAAACGCTATTCTGTAAGCCTCGTTCTGGGTTTAAGCGGCACATGGAATCAACGCTTGCTGACTACCTTTAATTGCTGCAAGGAATGTTACAGATGTGCAGACATGTTTGACAATCTCCAGCAGAAACAATAGGATGCGTGGCCTAGCAACTGCGGTGCACAGGTTGCGGGTTAACAAGCAATCATGAAATCTAGAATAGAATAGATCGGGCAAATTAATGGCGAGAAACAGACATTAAACACGTTAACCAGGCTTGATATCGTTTACTCCGTCACTCAATAAAACACAGGTTTTGCTTCTCACCCGTAAAGAAAAAAAGATAAGACAAAATAAACGCATTGTTTGTGGTCGGATGAAAGTTGTTAAGGAAAACAGTTTTAACATATGTTAATTCTTAAACTGAATTAAAATTCACTGCCATTTTAAACTATAGGTGGGGAAGTCCAGTGGTTACAGCGTTCGCTCATCACGTCGAAGGCCCGGTTGCGATTCCCCATATGCTAGAATATTGTTAAAAACGGCGTAAAACTCTCTCACTTTCTCACAAGCTTAGCTATAGTTTGGTGAAGATGCGCAAAGAACTCAGCGACTTCCTCGGCGAGGGTAGACCGGCGTGCTTGTGAAGACAAGAGATATGGTTTCTCATGACGTCATACGTGTCATGACGTCACAATAGACGATAGCTAAGACGTCACAATTAGTAATGACGTCATATTTACTTTCATTTAATGAAATCCTTTAAAAAATAACCAGATTGAGTATGGCTTACCAAAACCAATCTCTCACTTGTCTGGATTTTACATAGAAAGGCATTATTTAAACGCTTTAGAACGAATTGAAAAAAACGATTGCAAGATTTTCCAGTTTGGTTAGTTCCGATTCTTGATTTACTTATTCCGATGAAAAGATTGAAGTGACACGAATAATTTCGTTCGAAATTTATAAATAGCAGATTGATCAAACATGTAGATCAAACGAATGTCCATGTGAAAGAACGGAAATTACCGAATAAATGGATGGATTGATATGTGTACTATAGTATTTAAGTTTAGAATAATTCATTAAATTTGAATTAAATACTATTACCACAACCACCACCCCCACCCCCACCCCACCCCCACCACCACTACTACTACTACTCTGGTGCGTTGGGGTAGCCTAGTGGTTAAAGCGTTCGCATGTCATACCGAAGACCCGGGCTTGATTCTCCACATAGGTACAATGTGTGAAGACCATTTTGTAGTGTTGCCAAAAGCGGCGTAAAACTAAAATCACTTTTCACTCACTTACTCGAAACTACTACTACCTCCGCTACTACTACTACTACTACTACTACTACTACTATTACTACTACTACTATTGCTACTACTACCATTGCTGAGTGCGGCGTAAAACTCAACCAACTCACTCACTGCTACTACTACCACTACCACTACCACCACTACCACTGCTACTACTACTTCTACTGTTACTACTACTACTACTACTACCACCACCAGTGCAATAACCATACAAAACAACAACCATACCGAACAAACAAACAAAGAAAATTGATAATGATGTTGGCGACACTGCTGCTGCTGCTGATGATGATGATTACGGTTGAAAAACGTACCTTACAGAAATCCTGACTGTTTATCCATTGTCGTCTTTCAATCCTCATGGGCTTCAATACAGCCTTTGTCCGACGAGTTGGATCAACTCTATCAGTGGTCTTCGCCCTCAGTACCAGATCGATATGCGAGTTCAGATTGACCAATCAGGGCCAACCCAACAAGTGATAGGCAGTAATAACGGTTATTTCCGAGGACATTCGAAGTCAAGGCCATGTAAACTGTTTTGTATAAGTTGTTGGAATTAATGATTTTCAAAAGGAAATGTTGTTTGCTTTAGGAGTTACAAAAATCCAAATTAAAATAAATATTTTTCCTAACAGGACTCCAATATCCGGACGATTTCCGCTCTGCGTAAAAGACAATATGAAAAATACATGTGTTAAATTGATTGCCTACTCAGCGAAGAGCTTAGTCATTAAGGCTTGCCAAGATACATTGCTCGTATGGTCGAATATTAAATTCTCTATAATAATGTTCCGCAGTTTGTCAACACCAAACTTCTCCGTACGGTTTCACTCACTCTCAAAACGATCGAACATTTCCGGTCAAAGAAACCTTTGAAGTGACTCGTAGTTATTGTTGGCCGGAACTGTATTTGACCGGTCCACCTCGCTAGCAAATGATCGGCACGTGATGTTAAACATCCTAACTAGTGGTCAAAAGCCATGAACACAGCGGCAGACGGAAAGACGCAAAATAGCGGTATTCCGGTAGTGTCAGAGCTAAAGATAATTACACTGCGACGGTTGAAGTTCAGTGTTAGCCACGATCACTCCAGAACGGGAGCCCTCGTGCTGTGATGGACAGGAACTTTATTTGGTAAAAATATGTTTAACACGTCACAATTTAATTCTGGAAACCCAAGAAACCCAGAAACTATCTGCACTGTGGTCACTTTCTGACAAAGGATTTGACAAACTTCAACATGCAGTTATCAAAGAGATATGCCAAGGATGAAAAAATGAACTTTTTTCTTTCGAAAACTTAAAATTTAAACTACTACGCCCATGAGGCGAACAATGGCCCAGAATGTTTACTTTTGCACAGAATCAATGTTTTGGAGATTTAAATGGATGAGTGAGTGAGTGAGTGAGTGAGTGAGTGAGCTTCTAGGAATATTACAGCAATATCACGGCGGAGGGACTCCAGAAATGGGCTTCTCACATTGTACCCATTTGGGGAATCGAACCAGGGTCTTCGGCATGATGAGCGAACGCTTTGATCACTAGGCTACCCAACCGCCCCTCTGTGTTTGCAATTGTAACGTAATTTATAGACTAGTGCTGGTGATCAACATTTTAAAATAATGAAATTAACAGCATGGAGTATTTTTTATGCATTTTTTGTACCGGTTTTGTCTTTCATGTTGAAGTTGGAGATGAGAAACACTTAACAATAGAGTGCGGATCTCCTGACAAAGTAACTAAAATAGTGAGTTGTATGATTCTTGTCCGGATACATATACAATTGAGTTCGTTTAGTAGGAATATCTTTCTGGCTTCTACATCGAAGTAATACCTACTTGTATGATAACACTGTTTCAATAAGGTTTCACTGACTGACTGACTGAGTTTGGTTTTACGCCGCTTTTAGCAATATTCCAGCAACATCACGGCGGTCAATAAGGTTTCAACAGGATGTTCAAAGAGGTTTTCGGATGTATGAGCGATCACTCGAATCCTTTTTCAAATCATAAAAACAGAGGTTCACTCAGCCATTGAATTGTTTTGTGGTTTTTGAGAGTAACTTCAGCTAATGCAAATAGGTCTTTGATCAGTGATGTAATATAATAGAGAATTCATTACCATTAGTGAGTGAGTGAGTGAGTGAGTATGGTATTACGCCGCTTTTAACAATATTCCAGCAATATCCCGGCGGGGGACACCAGAAATCGGCTTCTCACATTGTACCCATGTGGGGAATCGAACCCGGGTCTTCGGGCCACCACCCCTGACTATTAGTACCTATGCGAAAGAATAAAATACTTTCAGCAGGTGACTGGGTGGTGGGTGGGTGGCCTCACAGACTATCGATACATAGGATATGCCCGTATCAAGGTAATTCACCCCCCACCCCACCCCCCAATATTGGATGCCTCGATAAACCTCGATTCACGCTAAATTCTCGCATGACATGGATAAACAAAGCTATATTCCGCGACGTAAGTATTTCTTTTTGCTGTTCAACTATGTCTCACCTTCATTTGGCCATATTTGGCCATTTTGACCGCTTATTGGCCGATATCCCATTTCTGTAACTCGTTACTTGTTCCTATAGTAGTATAGGGGCATATCCTATGTATCGATAGCCTGTGGGTGGCCTAGTGGTTAAAGCGTTCCCTCGTCACGACGAAGACACGGGTTCAAATCCTGACATTGGTACAAAGTTTGTTTCGTTGTTTAACGCCGAACTCAGCAATGCTCCAGATATTATGACGGCGGTCTGTAAATAATCGAGTCCTTTCCTTTGGGTAATGAATCATGAAAAGGAATATTGAAAAATACATTGGTTAGTAAACAAATGTTGAATATTGTGTTATAGCAGGTTTAAGTCCTTTGGTATATTTTTTTAATATTGCCCTGTATCTGTATTTGAGTATTTAAATAATTCTTGTTCGTATTTTGTTTTGATAAGTTTGCCTTTTCCTTCTTTCTTGTTTAACGCCGCACTCAGGAATTTTCCAGATGTATAACGGCAGTCTGTAATTCTTGGCACCTGGACCAGACGAATCAGTGATTGACTTCATGAGCATCGATCTACGTAATTAGGATACGATGATATGTGTCCCGATCCCGTTAGTCGCCTTGTACGACAAGCATGGGTTACTGAAGATCAATTCTAACCCGGATCTTCACGGGTCTGGTACAATGTGTGAAGCCAGGGTGTTGTGTTCCTCGCCGAGATATTGCTGGGATATTGCTCAGAACGGCGTAAAACAATACTCACTCATCATCCGGGTCACATCGGACTCGCACCTGAAACACAGTTCACCCGGATCGAAATTGAACTTAAAGACCCAGCATGTTACATACAATGCTCACTGATTTAAACCTCTCGGGGCATTACTATATCAAAGGAAATGTAATGCAACAGAACTTCGCAATCTCAGATTCTCATTTGTATGCGGAACTATTGCTGTGGGCTGCTTTGTGCCATGTCTCTATGCATTATTGATGCTACTAGTTTGAGTGGGTGGTGGAATTAAATTGACTGTTTGACTCTTCTGTTTACCTTTGACGTGAGGTGGGAGGTTTCTTTCAAGTTTGTCAGCACCTGAATCGTTTGTGGTTTCACCACTTTAGTCAAACAGTAAACGGAGGCATCACTTTCTGCTTACCTGACACCTGAAACAGGTATATTGAGCTGTGAGCACGGAAACGAAACTATTGGTCAGGCCCCGTTCACAAAGCTATCGTAGCGCTACGACTGTCGTACCTCCTATACTTTAACATAGACTTACTGTACTGTTCAAAGCTGGTGAGTTGGCTTGGATGGGTTGGATGACTTTGAAGTGACTTTGAAGTGAGAGTGGGTATGCTTTTAGCAATATTCCAGCAATACCACGGCTGGGGACACCAGAAATAGTCTCAGCACATTCTACCCATGTGGGGAATCGAACCCGGATCCTCAGCATGACGAGTGGACGCTTTAACCATTAGGCTACCCCGCAGCCCCTACTGTTAAATAGGCCAGGCTGCAACTGTGGAAACAATTATTTGATATACTGTGAAAAATGTCTTTCCGTGCGAGTCCTATCGCGCTCAACCATATCTCTGGACGTAGCGACTTGAACAAAGCCAATATGTCACGGTACAGGATTTCATGCATAACGCAGAAGCCATGCTCAACATTATGCAATGTAGTGTCTTCAACAACACCCTGGATATTACAAAACGTGAGCAACATAGGTTCTTAGGTTCAAACATGTTTTCAGAGGTGAGGCATCGTAATACGAATAGGGTCGGTGGGGTAGCCTAGTGGTTAAAGCGTCCGCTAGTCACGCCGAAGCCCCCCTCAATTCCCCACATGGATACACTGTGTGAAGCCCATTTCTGGTGTCCCCCGCCGTGATGTTGCTGGAATATTGCTAAAAGCGACATAAAACTAAACTCACCCAATCACTGTAATACGAATATCTGATCAATACAGCTTACAGTTTCTCGTTTACATTTATAGGACGTGGAATACAGATTTACAAAGCCTATAAACATATATACATATAAAGTTCAAAGTTTATGAAATTATTTATTAAATTGAAACCTTATCTTCAGATACAGTTGGCACACTGACGTAGCATTTAGCATTATTCCAGCATCATCACGGCGGAGGACACCAGAAATGGGCTTCACACATTATACCCATGTGGGGAATCGAACTTGGGTCTTCGTCGTGACGAGCGGACGCTTTAACCGCTTGGCTGCTCCACCGCCCCTGTGTCAAGATCAATGTAGGTTTCGAGAATTAAGATGAGGTGAGGTGAAAATTTGGATTGAGAATATTTCGCTCCTATGACGACGTGCATGCGTGTGTGTGTGTATGTGCGGCTGCTTGTACTAGCCCAGACTGAAGCTGGTTTTATAGTGCTAGCCCACCATGCCGCAGTGAAGCATGGATACCCCACTCAGACACATTATGTCCTTGTTGTACCCATTAATGCCGAGCGCCATGCAGGGACCAACAAGTACCATATTTTAACGTCTTTTGGTATGACGCGGTCGGGGATCGAACCGGCTCTAACCACTAGAAATAAGGGTCACAGATAACCAGTCCGTTCTTTCTGTCCGGTTCGCCATACGTCATCACGGATTGCTGACTGGAGCCCCGAGCGACTCCTAGTTGCATTATGGATAAGTTAACGATACATGCCCATCAAGTTACAATCAGTCTGTTATGTCCAAATGAAACTGTAGAATATTCATTGGAGTAGGATGCAACATTGCCCATCCTGACGTCAACCATCTTTGTCCTACTTCTGTTAATGTAAATTACAATCATGCATAAATTATATACTTGTATTCAAGGACGACAGGAACAGTCGAGACTCACTGGGCGAGGGGCACTCTGTCCCGGACTGCTGAATGAAGGCTCGAGTGAGTAAGTGAGTGAGTGAGTGAGTAGGTGGATGGGAGAGTGAGTCAGTGAGTGAGTGGGTGGGTGAGTGAGTGAGTGAGTGAGGTTTTACGCCGCTTTTAGCAATATTCCAGCACTATCACAGTGGGGACTCCACACATTTGACCCATGCGGGGAATTGAACCCGGAATCGTTACTCATCAATCATCAGTTGTTCTGGTGCAGACTTGATTGTTTATAATCTGGAATATTTTTTGCTAAAAGCGTCGTTAAACGCCCACCAAAACCCAAACAAACAGAAACAAGCAGGCAAAGGCTTCATATTTAAATAAGTAGTTACCTCTGTGCAGTCAATGATGTTTGAATACTGTTGTGCATGTCATCGTATCCCAATTACGTAGACCAATGCTCATCATGTCAATCACTGGATTGTCCGGTCCAGGCTCGAACAAATTCGATTAAATAATGGAGTCTGAATAATGGACCACCCGATCCCGTTAGTCGCCTCTTACGATAAGCATGTCACTGAAGATGAAATCTAACCCGGACCTACACGGTTTTTTTACGAAATGGCTATATACCGGGGACATCGTGACAACATGTGGATTTCAGCAGTGTTCTTGAAGGTCATTTAGAAGTTGGTCGAACATGACACGTTAAACAACAACAGAAGGTGACATCAGGTGGATGAAAGCGCAAGAATTAGCTGTGAAACTGTGTAAAGAATAAGAAGTTCTTATCCATAAAAAGTGGCATGTATTCCAGAAGTTAACCCAATGAAGCCAGAACTATACTATTGTCGGTATATATGTACATATAGTTGGTTTACATGTACATTCTATAACTACCCTATGCTTGTATTCATGTTCTTTTTGTGAGCTTAATGTCACGATGTGAATTAACTAAGCAATACAGTGGGAGAATGTACACAATGATTTTTTTTACTATGATCGACAAACTCCGTTGTTTTGCACGTAAGCATCAGAACACTATTTCAGAACAGTCCCCGAACTTGTAGGTGTCCCCTCCCCTCCCCTCTAACAACACCAGGTTCACAATCCCAGGAGCTCTTGAATCAACACCCGGTGTCACACACCCGGAACTCTTGATACAACACCCGGTGTCACACACACGGAACTCTTGAAACAACTCCAGGACAAGTGATGTACAAAAAGAATGTTTTTTATTTCTCATGGTACAACTTGTCGGGCAGGGCGAACAGCTTGTAGAGTCCGACAGAAGCTACCAGGGGAAGGCTGCGACACTTCTGCAGTAGATGGTCTGGACTGATTGGTCAGTTCGTTCCTTCAATTCCCTGGCTTGCTTTTCTTCTGGTCTATCAGCGGTCTTCCCGCTGTCTGTCGGCACTTCTCGCGTTTGCTTGTCCTGCCCGCTTTTTAAAAAGGCAGATGAACGACTAACAATCTGCTTAGGTCTATAGTTCTTATGGACATATTCTGCTCAGCTGGACATATTTTGACGAGCTTGACATATGTCCACCAAGTGTCCTCGCCAACTGACTGACTGAGTTTGGTTTTAAGCCGCTTTTAGCAATATTCCAGCAACATCACGGCGGGGGACACCAGAAATGGGCTTCACACATTGTACCCATGTGGGGATTCGAACCCGGGTCTTCGGCGTGACGAGCCAACGCTTTAACCATTAGGCTACCCCACCGCCCATCCTCGCCAACAGTGTTACATAGGTTATTGAGAGGATCTAAAACCTTCTCAGGTACCTTCTTTAAGTCGCATTTAGAAGCTTGCAGGATGTGGAGAAACAGTTGCATGGACAGACAACTTGCAATAGATTTGACGTTGATGCTGATGCTGATACCGTTATCAAGCGCATCTATTTAAAAGTTGTCTATCAATTAAAAATGTTTTTCTTCCTTCATAGAAATGTGACGTTAGTGTGACATAGGATCAATAAAATGCTTAACTAAAAAGTTCAGTTTACATTTATAAGTGCTTTGGTGACATCAACAATCAACGGTTTGTAAGAATTCCCAAAATCAATAACAATATATATTTCTCTTTCAGATATCCTTCAGAGACATCTCACCAGCGTGGCATTCAATTGAGGAAGATCTGGAAAACAATGATAATTTTTTTTATAAATAATAAAACAGAAGACAAAACGAATGTTTGCATTGTAAGTTTTCTTGATGAGAGTGTCTGAAAAGATAAAAGTTTCATAATAGTATTATTCAAATATTGTTTCAATCACAATATATTAGAATTTGTCAAGTGTATATATAGATATATATCTGACATATCCTCATAAGTGGAGAAATATAAATGTAATTCTAGTATTATTTCATGTTTGAAGCACCAATCATTTCATTTCGTTAACCTTTCTAAGTACTCAAAGAAGTTAATATGACCGTTGTAAGCTTAAAATATACTGATCAAAACAAATAAGGGAACATATGGAAGTCCAGCTGTTCCTTTGTTCTTTTTAAGGTTTCTTTGCATTGCACTGTGGCTGAAAATTTGAGAACGAATAAAAAGAAAACTGCGATGAAGTGGTGTTCCCTTATTTGTTTACCTTAGTATAATTAAATGACCATTATTCAAGCACCACCTGAATCCAAGAGCAACTTAAAAATTAAGCCCAAACGGTATCAGACCCTAGCATACTGGAATGCACATGGGTCGCATATTACTGTGCATGCTACAATGGGAGAGGTGCCACATCCTCCTTGTCTGACTCCGTCCGGACAATTAACATATTCAGTTGTCACCAATGTTGGATGAAGCGTGTGTGTACATTGTGAGATATACCAGTGACTCGACATACCAAGACAAAATCAAAGGCTTTTTTCAAAGCCTATAGAAAGAAGGAAATAGGGAAGGTGCCAAAATACTCATTGTCTATCGCCCTTGGATAATGACCATAGTGATCTGACACCATTGCTTCATTAAGTATGTGTAGACTTTTTGAGATACCAGTGACACTAGTTCCCAACACAAAATCAAAGGATGTCTTCAAAGTCTATAAAAAAAGGGAAATACGGAAGGGACCAAAATATTCCTTGTCTAGGTCCTTCGGACAAAATGCCTGTTTGTAGATACTTTAACACATAAATAAAATACTACGCTCAGCCAAATTGGCTGTTGATACTTTGATTTTTGATCAGTAGTTACGTGATCCATAAATAATAGAATGGACGAACAAAGTGGTTATTCTGTCGATATATTTTTGCATGTATATTATTGCCCTGAGTCTTACCTTCCGACCTGTTCAGATCAAGGAGTAGCTGATTCCCATCGGGAGTGCACCCCCCGCAGAACCCTCCACACTGGACATTCACCACGGCGCCTCCTTCTGTCCTATTCACTAGCGCCAATGGGAGCCAACCATATGTTTTCCATTTTTGCTGGTAAGGAAATAACAGATAACTGTCAACGATCCTGACACAACCAAGGGACGCAACTGGAGCCGCAGCATCTTAGACGTCAGGAACATGTAATGGACGGATTTAATAAAAATGCAGTCAGTTGATAAAAGAACTGAGTCAGTTGAGTGTAACGCCACCTTGAACTGCACTGAGCTGGAGTTTAGTTGGTTGGTTGGCTGTTAACGCCGCACTCAGCAATATTCCAGCTATATGGTGCCGTTTTGTAAATAATCGAGTCTGGACCTGACAATCCAGTGATTAACGGCATGAGCATCAATCTACGCAACTGGGATACGATGACACGTGTCAACCAAGCCAGCGACCCTGACCACCCGATCCCGTTAGTCGCCTCTTATGACAAGCATAGGTTGCTGAAGACCAATTCTAACCCGGATCTTCACGGGTCAGTTTGAGGAGAAATGGGGAAAATGAAACCAAGGTAATAAAAAAATGCACAATATCTTTTCGAATGAATGATCATACATACATATAAAATATAGAAATGTCTATTTTCAGCTGGAAGTTCCATTTGGGTCTGTATTTAACTTGCATCTCGCGAGATTGTAAACACACTGGTACCGGATTGATTAGTTTTATTAGTCCCCATGACTATACCCAAACACACAATCCAGAGCCTTACTATCTACCGCTAGGACTTTCGGTATGCAATTATGAATGTCATTTCTGTTAATGGTTGTTGGGGCGGTGGGGTAGCATAGTGGTTAAAGCGTTGGCTCGTCACGCCGAAGACCCGGGTTCGATTCCCCACATGGGCACAATGTGTTAAGCCCATTTCTGGTGCACCCCACCCCCGTGATATTGCTGGAATATTGCTAAAAGCGGCGTAAAACTAAACTCAGTCAGTCAGTCAGTTAATGGTTGATATAAACAAATCAGTCAAAATTTGCCGTCCAGATGCAACTTAGAGTGTAACCATATAACGCTGCTACTCCATTGGTGCTAAAGGTATTTCCAAGGTAACATTCGACAAGATCCGAATATCGTATTTTAACGATAAAACACTTGGATGGATATTTTATCAGACGCAAAGATAATATTTTGGGCGAATTTTGTCCTCGGTAAAAAAAAAAAGTCCTCGGTAAAAAACACACCGTGGAACTACCTCGCTTTTAATCTCCATACGGGTGCTTAATGGAAGAAATACGGTAATAAGACGACCAGTGGATATATATACGTTGTAATTCAAAGCCGTTCACCTTTTCACTGACGACAAAACCAGTGTGACTGAGGTCAATGAAGAAGTAACCCTTGAGGCCGCACGCGCTCAGGACGCCATTGTCATGCTCAGAGTAACAATCTTGTGCCTGTCCGTAGCGGAGAGGTTGGCCGACAACTTCGGCAAAAGTTGCGTCCTCTATGTCAACGGCCAAAGTCTGAAATGTTAATCGAAACGAGAATAATTGGTTAGAAATATTTACTTCTGACCACCCGATCCCGTTAGTCGCTTCTTACGACAAACATGGGTTGATGAAGACCAATGCTAACCCGGATCCTCACAGATGACGCCCTTGTGGCCAGTAGCTCGGCCCGGAGCAGGCAAACAATGACTAATGGAGGAGTGTAGGCGAATCGTCGCCGGTTGAACAATTTTCTCACCGGCTACTTATTTTGAAGGCCACTTGTTTTGCAGCCCATGTTCCAGCTGCATGACGTCATTTAACTAAGTTGAATGAATTTTAACAATGGTTAATGTAAGGAACGATGACAGTCACTGACACTGAGGCCGACCATCCGACTTAAGAAGGACCATAAACACAAGGGAACCTTCAATCTTAGAAAACTGCTAGGTGCCGCTTGAGCGTTAAGAATTATCTGGAGATACGTTAGATTATCAATAGTCTGTCCAAACATTGAACACGCTGAAACTGATCTGGGAATGTCGTACAAAAGAAAATATATCACTATAAAAACACTTTTCAAAATATTAACTATTAAAAAAATAAAAATAATAATCCGGAAACACCCGTTTTGTCCAATAATTTCGAAACTGTCGGCCAGTTTGAATTCCATGACGACCGGAAAATTTGATCAATGAATCAGCCTTATGAGCACACAAAAAAACCTTCACTTAAAATAACCTTGTTCCTTTACATTGAGTCACTGGATACATTAGGTTTTGGAAGTTCAGAAAACATGGTTGAAGGAACGTACATCTGTACCCTGGGATAGTGGGTAGAGACCACAGAGTGCAGAAGGTAGTTCGATCCACGACCAATTCATAGCAAAACCATAAAAATAAGGTACTTATAGTTTCCATGCCTAGTATCTCGGCTAGGATTTTAAAACGGCATGGTGGAGAGTGGTCCTGTGCATAGAGCTATGGTCACAAATCAGATTAATATAAGCAACGTTGGGCGCGGAGAGTTTTTGGATGGGTGACCGTGTTTGGCAGCTTGACTCCTGTGAGTATCTAGGACTTCTGTCCTGCCCCACAATGAAGCATATATGACACATGTGGTCTCACCTTAGGCAAGTGAGTTTCTGCAAAATTGCTTCTGATCACCCAGCAGAAAATGGGTACCCGATGGGATAAGTGACTATTAACCTTCTCGCGCTTCACAGGCAGTTTGGGTTATTAGGGGTGAAAATAATCAGATTGTCCGCTTTGAGCTGGATATGAAGCCTGAAAAAGCGCGTTATAAATATTCTTCATTGGTATTATAATTCCGGCCTATTACACTTTGAATGTGTGATCACTTACTGTTTCGTTCAGTCGTATTTTACGGTACGTCGTTTCTTTACGTTGGCCATGAACGTACTCTCCTTTACACTTGTGGTTCCTGATGTTGGGCTCCACGCCAACATTCGGCGTTGACAAAGTCAGGAACGTCTTGGGCGTAGTCTCGTTCATTCCGTGACAAAACAATCGTCTTGGAGCGCCATCAAATTGTTCAAGAAATATCCAGTATTCGCCATCTTCTTCACTTCCGGTACAAAGTTTTACGTCTGCGCATGACGTCGGGCGACGTACTAAAAAGAAATAACGGATGAATTTGTAACAGGGTACGGAAGAGGGTAATTCAATGTCAATCACGCCAGTTTTGTGACAAAAGCTCAAGATCTGAATATACGTCACGTCCTTTTAGGATCTGTTTGGACCAAAATCCACGAAATTTGGTTGTTGATTGTTTAATATCGTAAATGCAGCTAAATTTAGGCGGCCATATCATAATTGAGTCTGGGCAGCCTATTGGTTAAAGCGTTGATTCGTCACGCCGAAGACCCGGCTTCGATTCCCCAGATGGGTACAATGTGTGAAGCCCATTTGTGGTGTCCCCCACCGTGATATTGCTGGCATATTGCTAAAAGCGGCGTAAAACCATACTTACTCACTCGGAGACGGCTCAAAGTCAGCCTCGTGAAAACATCCTGTGACACAAACTTCTGCTTATATTATAATTTTACTTTGTTGGGTATGCAATATAAAACGTTTCAGACAAATTTGTCAGATACCTTTGTCATCTAAACTACAAGGGGCTTGCGCTGTCCAGTTCGCTCTGCTCCTACAAACGTCAAACTGAGAACAGTCGTGATTGGCACAAACTCCAACCAGTCTCTGAAAAAGCGACAAAACGTTGTCAAAAACAAAGAAAATAAAAACATTACAGATGGAAATAACTGAATATTATTCGTAATTTTTTAACTTCTCACTAATGAACAAATAGAAGTCAAAGTAACCAACCAGGAACAGACCTGTATCGAACCTCAGGGACCTGGATCCGGGATTTGAATTTTAAAGGAGGACTAAAATTGACTCACATACGAAAGACATGGGTTAACGATGACTGCAAACAAGCTAAGAAGGCACGGAAAAAGACTGTGCATTACTCCGTCGTTATCCCATGGTCCACTACTGGAATATCTTCAAGATTTGATCCTTAAGGATCCGGGTTAGAACTGATCTTCAATATCCCATGCTTGTCGTAAGAGGCGACTAACGGGATCGGGTGGTCAGGCTTGGTTGACACATATCATAGTATACCAATTGCGAAGATCGATGCTCATTCTGTTGATCACTGGGATGTCTGGTCCAGACTTGATTATTTATAGACCGCCGTCGTATAGCTGGAATATTGCTGAGTGCGGGGTAAAACTAAACTCACTCACTCATATCAACTCCGAAACACTTGGGCATCGGGGTAATTTCATTCTTCATGGCCATGCCATAATTGTCCCCATGATTAAACTTGGACATACCGATCCTTCAAATTCATTAACATGCCGCGTTTGCAAAACCATGAAACGCATGACAGATAATCGACCAGTGTTTACTTGGAAACCACTAACCAAAACAATCCCATATACAATGTGTTTTCGGTAAAAACAGAAGTTCCATCGATTACTACTTGGAATAATAATGAATAAAAAATTAATCACATTCGGTTTCTCGTTTTCGATCTAGAAAAAGCAAACAACACTACGTGGACTAAAAGATTGTCTCATTATTTAGCATCAAGGTTAACAGTTCATCAAAACAACTGACCGATCGCTTTGTGAATGATATAAATGTGTTTTGTCGTCGTAAAAATATGCATACTACTGAACGGCAGTTGAAATTGTGTTTAAAAATTCATAATGATGTTTAGAAAATGGATTTAAAGTCTCCAAAACCAAAACCAGTTTTGGCAGCAAACACAAACATCACAAAGACTCTCAAGGAGTTGATTTTAGATGACAACACTATTAAAGTTGTAAAAGTGGCTCAATTCATAGGTTTATTCTTTGGTCAGCATTTGACCTTTCAGACCAAAGATATTTAAAAAATAATGCCTGAAGGCTATTGGTATTTTTCAAGTTCTTTTAACTCAAAGCAGGGATTATATTCGAAAACCCTCTTCCAATTATACAGAGCTCTGATCCGTTCTCAACTTGAATACGGTCTTATCAATTATGGTGGAGTTTGTAATAACAATCTATTATTGTAGATTCATCATCAATGACAAAGGTTTCGATCCTTTAAAATGTCACCGAATCTAAATTTTCGTTCTACTAAATTCAGTCCTGCATATGACTGTGAGTATTTTTATGATATAATGTGAGTGAGGGAGTTGGGCTAAGGCGCCAGGCTAGTGATCCAGCGAGCATGAGGTGTCGGGATCGAGCCCACCTGTGACCGGGTGTAAAAACCTTGGAGTCAACTTTGTGTGCAGACTCTCTCAGTGTTGTCACAACCCCTAGTGTACAGTACACAACCCTGTGCACTCAAAAGAACCCACGAATCCGTTGGTATATGACCAGATGGTGGCCACATGAATACGTGCAAACACCCAGTTGCGGGTACAGCAACATGCAGTAAAATTGGACAAAGTACTGTGACTATGTGTCCCAGTCCACCCAGCAGTGAATGGTACCTGTAAGGATGAGAAAGCCACAATAACTCGGTGCGCCTAGTGGCTGCAAGAGTTCTATGATCCCCAGAGAGTTGAGATTGATAATATGATGTGCCGTTGAGATTGACATCCAATGATCGAGGGGGAAAAATACCAGCACCTTGAGCATGTACTAGTTGTCTGGGTATGTGCGCTATATAAATTTCCTATTCTATCCTATCCTAACTCCGTTAAGAACAGTGTTCCGGTTATATCCCAGTGCGTCAGCTTAACATGGGAGGAAATAAAAATGATGCCGGTATAAGACGTCCACCATTTTTTTAAACCCCGAAAATGTATGGTGCTGACAAACTTAGAAAAAGAACAAGATCGCAACTGGGTTTCTGGCGTGCCAAAGGGACGCAACTCTACATAGCTAATTGCAGCGCCTAAGATAACAGGTAACCTAAATATACCTCACCTGTGGCCATCTGCTGATGTCTGAGAACACAAAGGACGAATTGTTGACGAGTTGACTCGTCGCGGCATCCTCGTTCAGTTGACACAAACCAGACTGGATGCTGAAGTTGATGGATCTACATCTCTTCCGGTTCAAGCAGTGAGCAGCGCAGGTCATAATGCCCTCCGCCTGTAGGACCAAGAAGGTCGATCCCGCGACCTGGACAGACCTCTCCAGGTGATGGACATTGTCCAAATTGGTACACGTGTTGCCTTGACCGGACACAGGTATGACTAAACACGCCCACAACAAGAAGGCTAATCCAGCTGTCATGATGGAGGCGTTAACAAGATGGCGGTATAGATATACGTTAATAAGATGGGTTTGTCTGCTGCTCGGATTGACCATTACTCGTGTGTCGGGTCTAAATGGTCAATAGTGTTAGGGGCATCGTGTCCTGATAATGGCATCCAATACTCAAACTGTTCAGAAGTATATGTACATTTTACATACCAAGGGCCTGAATAACGTGCTTTAACGCCCTATCTACGCTGTATTTGTCGTGGAATCCAAGATTTCAAAGCCGTGAAAATAGTCATTTTCCCGGAATATAACCATTTGCCACCTTTCATCGACTTCTGATGATCAAAACCAACTCCTTTGTTTTAAGGCTCACGTATTTCCCGGCGTGCTTTAACGTCAATGCTGCAGGATGCCGGATGTATGTTGTTCATGTTGATGCTCCAGTTCTGAAAGACGAACAAGAAATGAAAAAACACATACATTCAGCAATGAGTGAGAAAATGAATTACGATTTCCAGGGACAATTCAGTCATGTGATGAGCGAGTGAGTATGGTTTTGGGCCGCTTTTAGCACTATGCCAGCAATATCACCTTGGCGATCGAACTCAACACCACTCCAATTTCAGCTTCTGTAATGGAAACATTAATACATGGCAAGAACAAAGAGAACAGCCAACAGGAAGAGGGCGAGATCACCCACAAGGCCACCCTGTTGCGAAGTGCTGAGAAGAAATTGCTATCGGTTTGCAAGAATACCAAAGGCATTCTCCACGACTCTCATGCTCTGGAGATCCTGTAGTTCAGCTTCTGACAGACCTCTTCTTGATCATTAGATACTGACGAAGGGCAAACGCATCATCTGCAAGTATGAAATAAGGCAGATCCAGATCATCATTTGGCAATGGTTCAGGTTCGGGCAAGTACACGTTACCATCTCCTTTACAGTCCGTCAACTCTGAGGCATTGAAGATTTGTGCACCTGACATATGACCCAGGCCTCCGACGTCCACCTATAGAAATCTGTAAATATCCTCTACAAGGGCCAACAGGACAATGGAGAAGAAACCCCTGTAGTTGTGGCAGAGGCTTCCACTACCAGGTGGCTTACGAATCGCGGCGTGTTTTCTATCGAGGACACCAACAGCATGATTGAGATTCCATCTCTGCTCGACTTCCAGACTGATGGTCTTCCAATCCCCTTGAGTGCAAGACATGCAGTCACTGTATCCTTGTAGTGGTCTATGATGGTTTGGCACACCTCTGGGAGAAAGATGTCTATGGTGTGTCTTGACACCCTGAAGTCTTAGGAGAGGGATTGGTGCTTGTCTCCAGAGGTTAGGTGCCTTATGGTAACTACTAACTTTAGATCAGCGTGCAGAGCTTTCCTGAAGTTGGTGTCTTATTTTAAGTCTGGGAGACAGGGCATTAAGCAGTTCATCAAACATATCAGGAGGCATACGCAGATAGTTTTAAGAATGAAGTCTGAGTTCAGATAGGAGATTGTCATAGTTTCCAAAGTGCAATCTTCTTTCCAACCTCAACCACGGACGTACCCAAAACGAATCGTAGATATATCACCGCAGAATCGTGATTTAAACGTAGCCAATCGGACAATACTGGGTGAAATCGTATCAACAACAGGTGCTCAATCGAAGTGTTATCGGCATATATACGTGAATCTACAGTCACTTCATCGTCCATTACGTAGGTTTCCGTAGATACTGCGTAGAAAAGGAAAATATAAACAAAAACTGGCCGATGGAGAACGATAACATCGTAGGTGACGAATCGGCACTGGTCGGGATAGGTCGTAGCCCAGTGAAATGGGGGCATAACAGACTTACGACTGTCGTAGCGAGTCGAGCGGACGCTTTAACCATTTGGCTAATCCACCGCCCGGGACCAGGGGGCCATTAAAGTATTGTCGGAAATGCTAGAAAAATGCTTTTTAGCCCTAATGTCTTTATAAGGGTGATAAATGTACTATGTTGTCAATATATCAACTCGCCTATTGTCTACCTAATTTTTATTTCAATCGATTTAACATTCCCATGCATTTAAAGGGCAGTTTACAGGAGAGAATTTGGTACCAAAACAGCAACTTAAGATTTTTTCTGAGTTCAACAACAGAAATCTGAAATAGTCTTTACATTTATGCTAATAATACAGGTGGTGTAAAATATAGATTAACGTTTTTCCTAAACAAATAAATGTGGAATGTTTGTATTAGTTTACTTAATTATCGTTTTCTTTATGGAAGAAATATTAATATAAATGTTAAGTCTTGATAAATAAGTTTCCCGGCATGCATGCACATCTTTATCACAGCGTCCACTATGGCCAACGATTTGCAGTCGATTGTTGCAAAGGTTTATAGGTTTTTCTGCTTAAAAAAGACAGAGTTACAACTTTCATTAGTTTAGAAAGGGTTTATTACAGAACTTGTAGAGCTGTTGGCATGTCTTACCAACAAGTTTACAATATTGTAAACAAATCAGACAAGACAGGGACCGTCTCAAATGCAAAACCGGGACGTAAAACCATCCTTGACAACTTTGACAAGGGAGTGCTTAGACGGGCGGTCTACAAACTTTATGAGAAGAAAAATATATATATTCTAAAGAAACTACACCAGTGACTTCGTTAAATCTTTGGCCAATGTTCACAACTAGATTAAACTGACCGAATTACATCCATATTTTTTCAATGAAATATACTGTTGACATGCAAAACATTTATTAAAACGTTGCACATTTCTACAATCAATCGATAAGATAACACAAGTCATAGGATTCTTTCCAATGTACAGTAATTCGTATGTTTATTTCAAAACAAACACACATACACAAATGACCCCTTACATAACTGATACGTATACTATACGTATACATATTCAACATTTTGCAGAAAACATCTATTGAGATGACCCCTCGCCCGAGCGCGTGCTCAGGTGTCAATTTCACCTGTCGATACCGTGCATGCTGATGACGTAACAGAGGCAGTTAATGTTTGTTTCAAATAACGTCCAACTACCCCTTATTTTTCTAAGTTTTTGGTATTTTCATCAGTAAAAACACATTTTAGAGCATGTCTCAAAATTTATTCCCTCGGTCTACATTAGGTAGATGTTTCTTGAAGTGATATTTGTTATTTAAGTAACTGTAATACCTCTGAATTTTAAATATAAGTCAAAAACCATTTTTCTAGCATTTCCGACAGTACTTTAGTACAGTTGGCTTGGCTACCTGTTAGTGGTGGTCGCAGTGACTAAACGACCAAGCAATCGATCATGTTTTCCCATAATCGAACACAAACAATTCTGGAACACTTGTTTTCATCAACCATATGTTTTACCAGGTTGTTTTTGTCTGTTACATTTCATAAGCACTACAAGCTTGTTCCAAGTCATCAATGAATTTATCTTAAAGACATCAAGAAATTTATGTTCCTATCATACTGGTCATCCTTTAAAGATGTGAAACATAATACTGTAGTTCAATCCTTCGGCTGAATAACACCTTGAGAGAAATGGAATTACATACCTGCATACCTGCATACCTGCATACCGGCGTGTTAAGCGTTGAAATGCAAAACGCTAAATGGTCAGTCCCAGTGACTCTTTGTTCCCCAGCACCAGTAACGCTCCGTCATATCCCTGCCTCAATGCCAACATTGACAGGTAATTGTTTCGGTTTGTCTTGGGAGACCAGCTTCTGTTTGATCAATAAGTATTTATGTTGCTTAGGAGTTTCCCTGGTTCGTTTGTGACACGCGTTTATACAGTTTTACAAAGACAGATTGAATCTGCAATAGTTGCTGCTTGATACATTGAGTTAAAGACACAGTCTGCGAAAGTCAGGTAAGTACATACCCAACAAGCATAGAACATGAGGAAAATGGAGAAGTAATGATTATATTTGAATAATTGATTGGTAGATTGATTGGTTGAGTGAGTGAGTCAGTAAAGCGCTTAAATCAACAGTTTACCTCAACCATCCCCTGTACAATGCTGAATGTTTGAAATTCGATATTACCAATCGATAGTGTTGATCGATGTTGTGAAAGTGAGTTCTTTGGAACAAAAGAAATATCATCAAAAGAAATAAGAAAAGATAATTCCTTGTTCATTAATATAATACCATTTTGGATGTGAGGTGAGGTGAAATTGGGTTTAACGTCGTACTTGAGAATATTTCGCTCATATGACGACGTGCATGCGTGTGTATGTGTATGTCCGGGTGCTTGTACTAGCCCAGACTTAAGCTGGTTTTATAGTGCTAGCTCAGTGAGATACCATGCCGCAGTGAAGCATGAATACCCCACTCAGACACATTATACTGACTCCGAGCCGACCAGTCTATGATGTACCCATTAATGCCGAGCGCCAGGCAGGGACAAACAAGTACCATATTTTAATGTCTTTTGGTATGACGCGGTCGGGGATCGTACCCGCGACCTTCCGCTCTCCGGGCGGACGCTCTAACCACTACATCACGTAGGCGATCTTTTCAATGTAGAATACACAGAGAAGTGTGTACGGGGTTCGGGCGTATTTCGACTTGTACTGTTAGAAAGGAAGGTATTAAGGGCTCAAAATGAACTTGGAAAAAACTTCAATTTGGCTCCAGCAAGTTTGCCAATTAATAGATGATCTGTCGAGGGACAATAGGGTAAAATGTGTCTTTTAAATGAATGAACTTTCATCTCCCTCCCTCTCTCTATTGATATTGCACTGTCACTAAAAAATTAATTGCTTTTCCATTTCAATGCACTTACACTGCAGTAACTTGTATTGACTTATGAACCTAGTTTATTTAAAAATAGATCACATTTCGTGTTTTTTTGGTTAGTTTCAAGCTGAATTCTTCCTCGTATAACTTTCGGTGCTAATTTACTGTTTCAGCTTGGAGGCTTGTTACACGTCATCATATTGGGCTCTATCTGGAGTATCTATATAGAACTACTGCCTCTATGGTACGACAGTATTCTGTATGGTCCCACTCGAGTTGGTAGTGGTAGGCAAGTTAAACTGAACAAATATTTCACGATTAAAACAGTAGACGGGTCTAATGACACCTCAAGAATATTTCGGTTAATGAATGCTTCTACAGCTTGTTTTCTCTTGAATAATGTTATTACAGAAATAACAGCCTTGATTCAGTGCATCCTCAATACACCATCACACGAAAGAATGCTTGCAACATTTGGATAACATGCATTACTTCCGTGTAACATGTCACCTGTGTGTTTCACGTAGCCACCAAATTCTGAACATGGGTCGGATGGTCGGCAAACACCCCCCCAACCCCCTCTCCCCAAAAAACCCAAAAAACCAAAACAAAACAACAATCAAATAAAGAAAATTAATAATTTTTTGTAATACTCTCTACAATTTCTCGCGTTCTTTGGACTTGTGGCAGCGTCTGATTACAAGATGAACATTTTATATGACGAGGCGCTGTTGGAATAGAAAAAAAGCCGTTTTAGTTTAGTTTAGTTAGTTGGGGGGCGAGGGTCGGTCGGGCGATGAGAAACACAAAAATAAAGTGCTGCCCATATGGTGTGTATTTAAACAAGGTATTGTTCCTCTCACTGTACCTAGGGTTGTACAGTGGGCGGAGAGTCATCATCACTACCCAGTCCCTAACAGTGACAAAAACCACAAAAGAAAAGAAAATATGTTTGTAATGTTGGTGGGTTTTAAAAATTGTTATCTGTCATATCCACCCAGTGATCAATAACATATTACTCAATTAAAAATATATATGTAATGACTTAATGAGTCCATTCATCACATATGCAGATCCAGAGTGGGTTGGGTGCAGGGGTGCGCACCTCTCCTTTTGTCCTGAAAGTTTAATAAATGACCATTGAAAACGGGTGAAAATGAAGTGTGCACCCCCCACCTCCCTCTGTATCCGATTATCACCACACAAAATGACTGTATTACCCAAATTTACTAACGTTAGGAAATATACGTTTCATCCGGCGGCCATATGAACAACGTTTGAAATCTACGTATCATCTGGCTGTCAGATTTACACACGTTTAAAGGGGTGTTAAAATAAACGAACACTCAACTCTGTATTTTCATGTATTTCACAGGTGTATAAATCTGGCCATTGTTTTCATGTGTTTTCTAGCGTGTGTAACATATGTAAATGCTGTGATTGTAGGACATGCATTTCAATACCTTTGAAATCTCGTATGATCAGGGTTAGGTTTGTCATATATTTAGTACACGCATAAATGGTTGGTAATAGGTAAATATAGTGTTACAAGATTAACACTACTTTAACACGTATTTCAATGGTACTGTAATGTAACTGTCACACCGGGTTCGTTAGCGCGTCGGACCACGCCATAACGCACGGAGATCATTAGAAACACATGGCGAAGTGATACCAATGACTGAGCACCACTATGAACGTGCCTGCCTTTTTTGACATACACATGATGTCTGTTTAAAAGGTTCAAATTTCGGGTCTATGGGCCAGAGCTATATGTATATTAGGGACTGTGTGTGTGCATGTGTGAGAGAGGGTGTGGGATGGGGTAGGCCTAGGGTAGGGTGGCGGCGGTGGGGTACTGATAAGGTAATACCGTTTGTACTGGAACACTTTTTATGGATAGACAACTTCAGTAGTAGTTAAAAAAAGTGTTCCACTTCATCATACCAGCTTCTAAATGCCACTTAAGGAAGAAATACCGTTTGTACTGTTTGTAATGGAATTACATTATAGTTTAAATAACTGACCTTAGGTACACGTCTATTAAATTACATTTGTGACGTCATTCCATTGTCTGCTCGCTCCATTACTTTTCAGGAATGGAGCGATGTGTACAAGCTTCAAATTAAAGACTTCATTTTGTCATTTTGACATATAACTTTGATAACAGAAATATTCCCAATACTTTGAATGTAATTTAAGTGGGTAATATCCTCGTAACTCTCCATTCCTTCAAAACAATGTGCCTCGGCCCCTCCGGGGCCTCGGCTCCATTATTTTTAAGGAATGGAGGAGAGTTATTCGGACATTACCCTCTACATATATGACATACAAGGAGAGACTGCTTATTGCAATAAAACACAGACAGGTGTGATCACACAGACATGAACCGGTAGGTCCCTAATGTTAGTGCACACTTGTATGAGTTATCATACTCATGATCATAGCTGCACAAATTTCATTATCTATACTTTCAAAAAAGATGATTACAATGTATTAATGATTCCCGATGTAAATTACTGTTGTAAATGTGTAAATATGCACATGCTTCGTATTAGAGCCGTGTTTCGTAGCCTAAGTGGGGAGACGATATATCTTGATACCAGTTTAATGAGTAAGTGAGTTAAAGTTTATAGGCAGTATTTCAGCCATATCGTGACTTAAAATAGTTATTACTTCATTAAAACCTGTGTTACATTCACACACACACACACACACACACACACACACACACACACACACACACACACACACACACACACACACACACACACACACACACACACACACACACACACACACACACACACACACACAAAGAGCTGTTGATGTAATAAAATTTCAGCATTTCACGCTAAAGAAGGTACAGTCAAACATGTTCAGCATGCCTCAAATAAATTTGAAACTAAAGTTTCCTTTGGGAAGTTGTGTTTCTACAATTCTTTCACAAACAATTCAATGTAATTTATATCAGAATTCAGAATCACTGAAAAAACTCTTAAGTCTGCTGTCTAAATTGTATCCTATCTTTGTTCTCTTTCTTAACAAAGCTAAGACATCATTCATAGTTGTGAATAAATGGTGTTTTTTTGCAAAACAACTAAAACATATTTCAATTACTTGAAGACAAGTATTGTACAGTTCACAGAGTTTGAAAAATGTTCACACTCTTTCACTTCTACACCAACTCCTTTGTTCATGTAACAGATACAAACAAATTCCTATAAGGCTCAATTTGTTTTTAAATTTCAGAAGGATTTCAATACTCCTTACAACTTTAAGTAGTACTTAAGTAGTATCGGGATATATCGTCTCTTGTGGCGATATATCGATGTATCACGGACCCTCGGGATATAAATATCCTGATGTATTGCCTAAATGTGTTTTGTATTGATGCATTCGTATCGCATTGTTGACAATGGAAACACCGCTCCTATCAATGAATCGTTTCACAACTACTTCAGATGGCCTCTTTTTGATTCGGAATACAGATATTGTCCCATACGGACGTTTTCTCAAATTTCAGTTGCCCGACGTAATATACTGTACACCTATTTTGATTCCATCTCTGGGGTAGATTATATAAAACTCTAGTGATTGCAATTAGTTCATAAAGTTAGATAACGAAGCAGGTTCTGAAATTATTGAACGCTAACTACCTGACATCATTTATGTTGCTTATGCGTTTTTAATTTTTTGCTTTTTGCTGTCTGATTTGTTATACATTAAATAATATGTTAATCATTTTGGCATCCTAATATCCTGGAATATAATGTGAACTTTTTAATCTATCAAAGTACCGAAACGTATTATCTGTATACCTGTTTTAAATTATCAGTGTGCAGAACATGTCACAAACATAAAAACTGAAGTATGGGTGTGGAAAGTGTGGGGGAAAACACGTGCAAAGTCTGTGAGTCAACTGAGATTATCCTTCAAAAACATCATATGTACATTTAACAATCACTTATCATTAAGTGCAACCAAAGCATTACAAAACGCCATATTTCCAGACAGCATAACATCACCTTTGGCCGGAGTTCCAAATATTTGATACCGAAAGCCTGCCAGTTAACTCAAAGGAAATAACCCTTGTGTTTTACAGTGATGGCTTAACATTAAGTT